TTTGATACATCATTCATAATGGTTAATTATTAGAATAAACCAGGCCAGGCATGGTGGCTCACTCTGTTATGCCAGCTACTTGGGAGACAGAGATCAGGAGGTAAGCAGTTCAAGGCCAGTCCATGCAAAAAGTTAGCGAGCCCCTGCTCCCATCTCAATCAATAAACCGGGTGTGGTGGAGCTTGCTTATGGTCCCAAATATGCAGGAGGGTAGGTAGGAGGCTCGTGGTCCAGGCTAGTCCTAGGCAAATACTGGAGGTCCTAAGAAATAACCTAAAGCAGAAAGGGCTAGAGGCATGGCTTAAGAGGTAGAGTAAAGTCTTGAGTTGAAACCCCAGTACCACTTAGGGGGGAAAAAGTAAGAAATTACATTTTTGCCACTGAGTTACATATGTTTTCAAAATGTAGCTCATAGACTTCTGGGATCTCTGAGCACATGTTAGGGGTTCACAAGAAGAAAACCCTTCTCATTACAATCCTAAAAGGCTACCTGCTTTCTTCACTCTGCTGACTTTTAACTGTTGACATAAAAGCAAGAGTGACATAGACTGCCAGGCAGTGACACCAGAGTGACCAGTGACTTTCTTTTTCTTTTGACAGTGCTGGGGTTTGAACTCAGGCTTCATGCTTGCTAGGTAGGTGCTCTGCAGTTGAGCTATGTCCCCAGTCTAGGCCGAGGGTTTGTTAATTTAAGTCAGTTTCACTTAAGGGCACTTGATGAAAAAAATACAATTGTCTCCCTGACTACAAGGAGAGCTCCCTGAGAGGAGGGTCCTCCTTCTTTGTCACTGTTGCCCAGTGAGTGCTCAGATCCAGTGGTAGGCATGGAGCAGGCGTTTTGCCAGTGATGGTTGAAGAAATAAATGCAAGCACAAGACAAAATTTTATGCATCTATTACCCATCTGATTTATCAAGAATTGATACTTATTTGAAAAAAAATTAAGTCATGTGGTAATTTAAGATAGATTCAAAATTACTTAAATGCAAGTGTATCTAATACGTAATGTATAACACCCATTCTATAACAAATAGTATAAGACATGTTGTACATTGTATTTTGTGTCTGTAGATGTTCCTTTAAAAAGTAAAACTAATAGGGTCTGTGGGAAAAGAAGTTTGGGTCAGGCAAATTTGTTAAGAAGACCTGGGGAGACAGTGTGGACAGCTCGGGAGCAGCTCCACATGGCTGCAGGACACTTATGCAGAATTTAGAAGCTGTTTTTTTTTTACATATTAGAGCACTTTATGATGTACTTCATGTAGCTTATTTGTATAACTGAAAAAACTTTCATTTTCTTGGCTCAGGAAACTGACCTGGGAATAGAAGAACTGGTTCCCCTAAGTGTCTGCCACCAAAGAGCTGGGCTTCCCTGAGTGGAGCTGTCCCTTTTTTTGGTCTTTGCTGTTAAGGACATGGGGAATGAACTGCATGATCTTCAAAGACCGCTCCAGAAGTTGGAGGCCAACACAACACCATGATGTAAAGGTTGACTTAGTGAGAAAGACTGATTGTGGGGTCCTCTAGCGATGAATTCCTATGCTGTAGCTCTTCCCTGCTCCTTTGTCTACTCAAGACAAGAACTTGGTTTGAACTCCTTGTCCACTACAGAAAATCTCTGCCAATTAGGTTTTAGAAGAACTCACTTTTAGTAGTCTTTAGGAAAAGAAATACACATGCTTTAAAAGGATTTGACAGACAAGATGACCAAGCCAAGAATGTGGTTCTTTTTCTATGGTAATGTTAACAAGATATGTCCTGCGGAAAATTCACAAGCCATAAATTCACCAACCGTGGGTCCTTTGAAGATGGAGTAGCAAAGAGAAACACCCAACACACCTGTGGTTCCTCTGTCTTCACAGCCATCCTGCTCTACCCACATTCCTAGAGGGTCTCACTCCCAATGGCTGGTCTGGGGACAAAGCTGAGCTATGGGGGACAGGGAAGGGGACAGGGTTACCTTTCACCGTCACGTGGACACTCTGGCTGGTGGAAAGCTGTGGTTGAACCAACACATTGCATGTGTACTCGCCCTCATCCACTTCTTTCTGCACATCTGACAGCTTTAGAGTCCCGTTGTTCTCAAATGCCACCTGGCGGTGGTTGAAAGGAAGCAGATTAGAGTTCTTGTACCATTTGATGGAGTAATATGGATAGCCAATCACACGACAGTGAATGTATGTGTCCCGTCCTGCTATGGCTGTGATATTTTTCATTGGTCGAATGCTTGCAGGCCCTGGAGAAACACAAAGAAACTCTTGAAAATAATTGAAGGGTACATTTCATGAGGGCAAATGGAAACACTTTTTCTTAAGTTGAAAACAAATTATTTTCAATTAAAGCAGTTTTATTTAGGCATTTGGCATTTTGTGAGGATTGTTTTCTTTCGTTACTTTCAAAGGAATGAGTGCTAAATACTTTTGTTATCAGCTGCTTCTGTTGAAATATTTTCAACTAAGTAAGAGATAAAAAGGTAATTGAACCAATAATAACATCTCGTCTACACTGCATAATCGCACTCTGATGGCTTGTTTGGCTCTCTCTATGGTTTATGATGAAGATGGAGGTTATGCCAGGCGCACTATGGATGTAGGTTAAATCGCATGTACGGGGAGGTTACCATGGATGTACTGAAACAGGAGAAAAGGAGAAAGGAAAATGCATGCACAGCATAAACCAGGAGAGGAGAGACTGAGTGGACAGGTCTAAGAGAAACAAAGGAGAACAAGCTGACTAAGGGACCAAAATGCCATTTGCAACAGGGACCTGCTCAGTGCCAGTCCTGAGTCAGAAGGGAAGGGCAGGAAAAGGGAAGCCACAGTTACTCTGTCGGGCATTCCAGGACCCAGCTCAGGGCATGCAGAACCCCTTCTCCACTACAATGGCTTATGTGTGTTTGTTCGAGGAGCTGATTTGACAAGCACCTCTTACGTTTATTCGAGCCTGGTACAGGACGACTCCAGCTGAGTTGTTGGCCGTGCAGCGGTAGACACCCCCGTCCCGGACCTGAGAGCTGGAGATGTTCAGGTAGCTGACCACGTTCCCCTCTGAGGTGATCATCTGGCTGATTCGGTGACCTCCACCCTTGAGGATTGGATCGTCGTCCAGGGTCCATGTGATGGTTGGCAGGGGCGTTCCCTTCACACTGCACATAAGGGACACGGGCTCTGCAGGACTCACCACCTTCTCACTGAAGGCAGAAATGATTTTGGGAGTTCCATCTAAGGAAAACAAATTACAGAAGGAAGTGGCACATAGAAGTCCTTAAACAGCTGCCCAGTACATTTGTGTAGTGCTTCTGGGAGGTCAGCAAGCTGCCCCAGAGGCCTGGTGTCCCTGATAAAGCCAAACCCAAACAGAAAAGGATTTCTCAGCTTTGAAACTGGTGGGTACAGAATTCACGTGTCCATTTCCTGGTGGTCTTACAGGAGGATTCACGATGCACCCAGACATTCACATTAAACAGCGGCAGCCCTCAGGACATCCCACCCAAACAGTGGCTTTGACTGACCTTCTATTTCCCCACCTTGTGTAGGGACTTATCCCGAGGGCATTACTTTCAAGAGTAAAGAAAAGTACTGGGAGATTGGTGACCTCATCTATGATTGTCTCATAAGGAAGGGCCTCATTTATTACAAATGCCAGTTGCGCCTAAATGTCTGTGAGTATCTGACAATAAGCAGAAAGTAAATAAAGTTTGTCCCTTTTACTACATGTCAAACGTCCCCAAAATGTTGTAAGCAGGTGGCCATGTAATTTATCAGCCAATCTGGGTCATTTTTGAGAGTGAAATAAATACTACTAATAGTTACGCCAAGAGAACAGGCAAGAGCCAGAAAAGACGCGGGTGAACTAGGGTCTTAATCTTAGAGAAGTTTAATAAGATCAAAATTTCATACTCCACTATTTTTCATCACATGTGGTGAGTGTTCCCCTGTTTTACGTAGGTAGTAATCACAATGACATATTTTTGTAATTTTTAATTTTTTCTTTTGCAGTGCTGGGAATTAAATTCAGGGCCTCACACATATTCTATCATGGACCCACACCCCAGCCCAGGATTCTTTTCTTTATGTGTCTTCCCATTTTTTTAAAGAAGAGAAAGAGAGAGATTAAAGGTCATGCATGAAAGTCAAAAGAAGAAAAAGCTACCAACAGGCCAATAGGCCTACCAGCCTTGGGAAGCAAATCAACTTAAGACACTTTCTTCCTTGACAATGAGTTGGGTACATGATATAAGTGTGACCACCTGCCACAGGGTTTCTGAATCACATAATCAACCTTGCTGAAGGATGACATTTTTTTGCTTTTAAAAAAATATCATGTGCTCGATTAAAAAGTCTGTCCCATTAAGAAAACAAATGATCAATAGAATTTTTAGTTTTTAAGTTTTTATTATGAGAGTAAGATACAGTCATTGAAAAATTTGGGGGTACAGATAAACAAAAGGAGGGAGGGAACAAAATTGAGGATTGCTGGCAATCCATCAGAGAACAGTAGGTGTAATTAGCTCCAAATGTCCCTGAGGAAGCTATCTCTCTCTCTTCCCTCCAAAACTTTGAGGCCTAGTTGTGGGGCCATTTGGTAGGGTCCAGGCTGGTGGTGCCTTCCCAGAGCCCTCAACCATATCTGAATCCTCATGTCATACCAACTCATGTTTCTTGTGGCTGGAGAAGGCCCTCAACTGTGTTTTTTTCCCAGATGCATTTATAAATGATGTTTTGTGGTGTCCTTGGATGGCAAACGTTATTCTTTTACCATCAGACATGAAGAAAGACCTTCAAAATATTCAAGTGTAAAATCTGTGTTTTGCATTTAATATATTACGGTCATTAGACATTGCCTCATCATGCATTTAATTTAAAGAGAAGGTAGATGTCATCATGATTGTTAGTTTGTGCCTATAGCTAGTCATTAATGCATGGGAGAATTGGGTTACTTTACTTGACCTTATGACTCCATTTTTTTGTAGGATATGTTTAGCTACAAATTTCTCTGCAGTGATTTTTACACTAAGCACTGAGAACTCAAGTGCTTCTGTTGAGGGAAGAATTCTTCAGTTATGCTGTTTTTATTTATGTAAAGTTTACATACAGTGAAATGTACAGATGTTAAGTGTACAGGTGAGTTTTTACTAAATTTGTACATCTGTACAACCAAACATATCCCACCAAGTTGCCTCAGGGTTCCTTACAGTCAGCCCCACCCACCACAGCCATCACTGTTCTGTTTCCATCACCATGTGCTCGGTGAACCCATTCTTGAATGTCAAACAAGTGTAGTTAATAGAGCTTGAACCTTTTCACACATGCATATATTCTACTGAAACTACAGAGCAGTTTATAAAATTAGGAAATAGAACTTTGGAACACTTCTGCTACCCAGTGCACCTTCCATATTAAGACTCTGCCCACTGACCATGTGATCATCTGTGAGTCAAGATTGTGTGCTGGTTCTTTGTCCTTTAATATTCTGCTTACATTTTAAAGCAACTTAGATTATACGATGCTCACTTTTTCATATACATTTTAGAATCAATCTAAAAAAACTGGGATTTGACTGGGAACATACAGATCACTGTAGAGCAAATTCTTGTTTTTTGTGTTTTGAACCAGTATCATGCTACATAGCCCCAGCTGACCTTGTCCTTGAATTTAAGATCGTCCTGCCTTAGGCTCCCAAGTTCTGGATGATAAATAAACACCACACCTAGCATTAGAGCAAGTTAAGAATACACAGTCCTCTAATCCTTAGGTCATTTCAATGTTATATTGGCCACATCAGTGTGAAATTTATTACTGTCATGTGTTTTACACTATTATAAATGGGAATTCCAAAATATTATTTCTTAATTGTTTCTACTATGGAGAAATAAAACCACACATTGCTTGTGTTCTGGTATCATATAACTTTCCAAACCCACCTATAATAACATAAATTGCTTCATAATTTTCTTGGGATTTTTTTATGTAAACAACAATGTCTGTCATTAAAAATTGCTGGGAAAATTTACTTCTCAGACTTTGTGTTTTATCTCCTATTCATGCCTGGCTAGGAATTCTAGCACAATATTGGGTAGAAATGGTGAGTGTAAGTTTCCTTGCTGTGGTCTCAATCTGAAATGCAAAACACGAGCAGTCTAATTCTTAAGAATAACTAGCTGTGGGAAATTCATAGGTCCCATTTATTAGGTCAAGGAGGCTTCCTGTAATTCCATTTTTGAAAGTTTATTTTTTTTCCTCAATGGAAATTATCTTTCAGCCAGTGAATTCCTTTCTGGATATATTGAGATGTCTGATTGTTTTTTCTCCTTTACTGGATTAATATACTGACTTAAGTAAGATTAATGGTTTCAATAATTTAATGATCTTATAATAATAGGATACATTTCAACTGATGTATATACATACACATAGCTGTAAGTGTACACATATATGAATATACATATAAGTATGTTTTTAATCACATGTACTAAAAGTTAAAATGGTAGTCCTTTATGTTAAATGTAAGAACCTAGCCATATCTAATTCCAAATAATTCAAATAATATCCTGTCTTTTGTGTTATTATGTGTAGTTATGTTATAAATAAAAGTGTTATAACTATATGAACCATTATTATTTTTTTGGTGGGACAGGGGTTTGAGCTCAGGGCTTCATGCATGCAAAGCAGATGCTCTACCACTTGAGCCACAAGTCTAATCCATTTTGATCTGATTATTTTAGAGATGGGGTCTCTCGAACTATTTGCCTGGGCTGTCATAATCCTTCTGACCTCAGCCCCCCAAGTAGCTAGGATTACAAGGTGTGAGCCACTGGTACCTAGTTGACCCATTCATTTTTACTTACAAAAGAGAAAAATGCTTCTGCTAAATATTTACTAACATTTTGTCATCTTTTATTCCTGTAGATCTGAGTTTCTGTGTTCTGTCATTTCCTCTACTGCATGCAACATCATTCACCATTTTTCAATGCGCAGGTCTTCTGACATCACACTCTTTCATGTTTGTTTACTGAAATATTTTTCCTTAGTTCTTAAATACTATTTCAGAACGTTAAAAGACATTACTCCATCGTCTTCCATCTTCGAAGCTATCAGTCATTTCTGGATAGTCCCCGTCTGTAATGACTTTCCCTCCCTCAGACTGTCTCGTTAATTTCAGAGGCTCAACTCATATTCCCAACATGTCATTTTGTTGTAATTTTTCCTTGAGGTTTTCTGACTTTCCTGTGTCTGTAACTTTATTTTTTTTATACCAAGACTTGAGAAAATCATGGCCATTATTTCTTCTACCTCTTCATCTCCTGGCTTTCTGGCCTGGAATTAAATCTATGCCAGGCCAACTCACAGTGCCACTTGTCCCAGAGGCTCCAGTCATTCTTGTGAGTTTCTTCCAAGTCTCAGATCCAATCATTCATTTCCTTCAGTTGTCACTGTTCCGCTCTCCTTCCTCTGATGTTGCATTAAGGTAAATCAAGTGAATGTTCTCATTTCTATTTCTTTCAATAGTTTCTATTTCTCTGCTGGTCTTTGTTATATATGCACTGTTTTCCTTTAAATTATTGGACATATTTTAAATGGCAGCATTAGAGTCCTGCCTGCTAATTCTAACATCTGGTTCTTCTCCTGCTTTGTTTTTGGTCAGTTGGCTGTCAGCATATTGTTTTGTGTTTAGTATGCTTAGCATTTATTTAGTTAGTTAGTGTATTGTTGTGCTGGGTGTGGTACATTGTGGCATTTATAAAAGTCCTTACAATGTATTATACTTTTATTGAGGACTTGGTTTGCCTCCCTTGTTTCTACAACTCAGGTATTAACCAAGTTTCCCAAGGTGACTCTACGGATCTGGGGTCTCCCAATTCCTTCCCTCCTTCCCTCCTTTCCTCCCTCTACTCCTCTTTCCTTCCTTCCTTCCTTCCTTCCCCTCTCCCCTTCTTTCTTCTTTCCTTCCTTCCTTCCCTCCCTCCCCTTCTTCCCTCCCTCTCTCCCTCCTTCCTTCTTTCCTTCCTTCCCTCCCTCCCTTCCTTCAACTTGGGCCCATTTCCTCAAGTCACAGTTGTTTGGCTGTGTGTTCTCTCACCTGAGTCCTGGAAGATTCATCTATTTGCCTTTCTTCTAGCTTCCCCTCTGCATCACATGGGCTGGGAGTGTCCTGGGGGAAAGTAGTATCTGTGCAGACATAACTCATCCTTCCTTTTTCTTCCATTCTGCCTGCTTTGGGGACTTGTCTATTGTGCACACACAGTTTTGCTCTTCCCAAAGTTCATAACGTTTATGTGTGAAAGCTGCTATTTTATCATTTCCAGAGCTTGAACCTGTTACCATTCCTTTCATGATTCTATTTTCTAACCTTTCTGGTTTTATCTTGAACCTGTCATTACTAGGTTCTGATGTCTTCAGCATCATAGGAAAGGCTCTGATTTTCCATTACACCAGTGGTCAGCTATAGTCTGTGAATTTTATAATTTTATTTTAATCCATAGCTATTCCAGTGGAAATGGTGGGAGTTTCCTCAGAGGAGGCTCGTTAAGACACCATTTTTCAGCAGGTCCTAGATATGTATTTGGTAATTCCATTTCAACTCTCTTTTGCTACATTAGCAATGTCATTTCTCAGAAGAGAGAAAAATAAAATGAAGCTTCTTGTCCTGAATGGGAACTGACATGTGACAAATAATTCCGTGAGTGTGCTCAGTGTGCCCCCTGCCCTGTCTCTCTGTTCAAGTGACGGGCTTTTTGGAGATGAAAGTAGACATTATTTTCCCAGTGAGACCTGAGTGTCTTTGAAATCTGTCTTGCTGTCACTCTCTGATAACCTGCACCCTTTCAGCATCATTACGGATGATCAACGTGCTCTTTAGGTTTTCTTAGTTGCTCTAGATGGTTGCCGAGGTAACAAGGCCCAGACAGGTAATCTCTCCTTCTTCTACAAAGTATCTAAAAATAGTGGCATCATGGGGCTCAGAGTGTATCATGATTAGTGAGCAGTTCTGGCAAATTGATTACTTTCTGCACTTAAATATTATGTGCAACGCGGTGTCAGGAATTTAATATGAGCACCATGCCTCCAGTCCATTTCATTTCTGTGCAACAACCACACTGTCTGCATGAAAAGCTTGAATCAAAATAGGAATGTCATGGACCAGCCTGCTGCTTCTTAAGGTTGTAAAAGCAACAACAGAAATCTCTTAATATCAAGACATATTTAAACTTACTTTCCTTGAAATAATGGACTTTATTTATTCTGTATTTGGGCTATCTAAAATTATTTCATTGTTTCAATCAATTGATGATAGATAAATTTAAAATAATATCTAATGACACAATTTCCAACAACACACACAAATACACCAACAGGAGCCAGTTGAATTGTTTAATGATAAATATAAATCTTACTTATAGTTCCTTTCCCTGGCTGATTGATGAGCTTGAAGATTTATATTTTCAGTAGCTGGTTTAGAATGTCAGACAGTAAGCCATATCAAAATCCCATTATCATCCTATAGAGCCGTTCCTCACACATTTCTATCACCTAAATTTGTAATGTTTAGACTCAGCAGAAGCAACAACACCAAGTAGACAACATTTTTCACTACACCATATTGAAATTTTGGTCTACACTTTGCCTCTAAAGTTATACTTCTCCTTCCCTACCCCACAGCTCAGGGAACATCTGACAATGTCTGGAGATGGTTTTGGTCATGACTTGGAGGGGGAGCTACTGGCACCTAGTAGGTAGAGGCCAGAGACACTGCTAAACACCCTACAATGCACAAGACAGCCCCCTACCCCCAACAAGACATTCTTGAAAAGCCCAGGTCTAGAGGGTAATGAATTGTCAACAAATCCCTATCTCAAATTTCTGAGGTTGACTTGACAATGGCATTAAACATGAGTAGACATTTATGCTACTGGAGGTTCTGTTACTTCTAGCACAATAATTTAATTCTCATCAAAACATTCTTATTTGCCTGATTTAGCCTGAAAAAGTAGAGTAGATTTATAAGTTGGAGAAGTAGACAGAAAAATGTGGATTTTCAGCACTTTCTCACCCTTATTCTGCGTGTCTGAGTGCTCAGGTCTAGGTTGTTTCAGGCAAACCCTCCAACGAGGCCCACTGACCTTCAAGGACCACCTGCACATAGTCTTGAGCGGACAGCTTGTCCTTGCGCACGAAGCATTGGTACGCGCCTCCGTCACTTTTGACCATGTGATCCATGATAAGGTTTTCATGGTTGATCCCTGTGATCCTCACATTTTTCCCAGGGTTGAGGATTTCGCCATTTCGGTACCAGGAGAGTTCCTGGTCCTCGGTTCCTGTCACGCTGCAGGACAAGGAAACCTGGCTCCCCACGCTGCTTTTAACCTTCCTGGGACTGATGGTAGCTTTCAGTGGCTCTGGACAATTTGAGAGAAAAAAAGAAAATCATCACTAGGTATCATTTCAGCACCATGCAGGACCTTCAACAAGGCAAAGGTATCTTCGCGCACAGTGATACCTTCACACCGTTCTTACATCAGGATTATTTTATGGGGCAAGATTGTGTTTGGGAACACCCTCTTTCTTACTTATTTTTTTTCTTGTCTTCTATATGCAACAAATAGAACAATAATTGGTCAAAATGCTTCCTCAGAGGACATGTGAAGAGAATGGTTTTGATTCACTGATACCCAAAACGCAATGTTTCTAGTCACCAATAGAGACGTGAGCATTTGAATTTATTAATCTTACTGGCCTTGTTCCAAAGCAGCACTGACAGTGAGCCCTACTGCATTCTCCCATGCACACAACACACTCGATCACGTGTCATCTGGAGTCTGCAGAGACGCAATAACACACAGCTACCAAAAAACCCCAAAAAACAAAACAGGTGGTATAAGTGCATGACCATGAAATAGTTTTTTTGGATGGAAATTGAACTCCCACCTTTGAATTTCTTTGTTTGCAACTCAACCAAGTTGATTCAATGGAGAAAACATTTATTTAGTATCTACTAGGTGCCAGGGAAACAAAGATTAATAATATTTATCATACAGTAGCAGGTGCCATAAAATTACCAAAATTTTTCATATATTACTTAAGTAGTCATTCCATAACTCTGAAAATCCTGTGTCACCATCTCTGGTTTCCAGAAGAAGAAACAGTTATTCAGAGATGGCCAAATCCACTCAACACGTAAATGACAGAAACAAATAATCAAACACACAAATAAATAGATTTTCATCCCAGCTGCTCCAGACTTCTCATCTTGCCATTCCAGGAAATCTTTGGATCCAAGGAGTTCAGTCTTCTGGATTGACAAGACAAAAGTAATCATAGCACTCACTCAGAGGAATGCAGGGACCAGGAGAAACATTTAAGAAATAGCGGACCAGTAGGAAGAATAGCAAAACTGTCAGATATCAGGAATGGAAAGAGGGCATCACAGATAGCAGGAACCACAGATATTAAAGCATGAAGTACAAGGCATGTCTGAGAAAGAGTTTCTGATTCAGTTTGATTGAAACATAAAAGTTCTTGAAGGAGAAACGTGGAAGAAAAAAAATAAAAGCAGTCTGGGACAATATGATAAGGGGCCTCAGGATTTTGTAATGAAATCAGAAAGGATTAGCAAAAGTATTCAGGAATGTTGAACAAGTGAGTGTCATAGTCAAATGTATTTTACAAGAGATGGTTGATCATACGGAAAGCACTAAACAGTAAGGAGGCATTGCAAATATCTAGAATCTGAGACCCAACCTTGGACAGGGCAGAGGTGCTAGACTTGGACCAATCTTGGCCAAAAGAAGACTTGAGGAAGTGGGAAGGAGAAATTTTCTCTAATAAGACCAGTTTGGCTTCTCATCTTGTTCCCCTGGAGAGCCATCCCAACACTTGATATAAAACTGGGAGACACACTTTCACTTAGGAAGCTGAGCAGATCTGGGGCCAGTTTTCACAGAAGAAAGCCATACAAATAAAAGACTTCAGCAGAAGAAAAGAGAAGAACTGGAGGGTAAGAGGGCTCTGAACTTGGAACCTAAGAGAACACTCTCTGTCTAGAAAAGAGAGACATGAAAGAAGCAGCTTTCTCCAACAGTCAGGAGCAACCAAAAGAGAGGAAGAGAAGGTGTGAGAAGGCTGTGAGAACTCATCTGAACTCCTCTGCATGAGGCAGTGGATGGTAATTATAATAGAGTCAGAACTCAGACCTTTTGAAATGTAGGCGGTGATCAATGCCTTTAGAGAGCGCCATGCAGTACTCTGAAAATCTGAGCTGCAGACAGAAGGGGACATGTCATTGGGGATGTAATTTTACATTGGACAAGGAAAGATGAGAAGCTCTAGTTATCCGAGTTTAGGGAATGATCTTCCACATGGAGGAATTGACATAAGCAATGTGACTTCTGGTCTGGAACACAGTAGGTTTGTTATAGGGATTAGAAAGAAGGTAAATTTAGCAGGAGTTGGTTTTCATTTTTCTTCTTTTCTTGAAACAAAACAAAAGGAATATGAACAGACAGGTTTCATTGAGATGCCTCTGACACTATCCTAAGGTATAACTTTAATTCAACAGAAAACAAGGAGCTATGAAAGGTATTTTAACACAGGAAGACTTTGAACTGAAGGGAATAATTTTTCTGCCTGTCCAGTGCTGCACTATTTTGTCTACATGGTTGTTCACTTACAGAAGTACAGCTACGCCATTCCTTTCTAATCCCAGCATAAGCTGTTCAAATGACATTGTAGGACTTGAGCTACACAGCTGGCTTCAGTTAGTCACCTGGATATTTAATTGAGATGCATCCTGTTGGGCTTCTCTTGTGCCAAAGCTGCTGCCCTTGGGTTTACTCTTGGAGAAAAACAGAACAAGAAAACACCAAAACACCTCCCTCTTCAGTGTGAGAGCCTTGTAGTTCTGTTTGCTTTAGCTCAGTTCATTAAATAAAAATATTTAAAAATAAGAGAAGTGTTAAATTGGCTGCAGAGTGAAATCCTATCTGCCTGAGGCTCTGTCTGCCTCATTCTGGGCATGTGATCTTAGGTAATTCACTTCCATTTTGTTGGTGGTAAGTGGAATTGGGGGCGTTTGACTGGATGTGTTTCCTCTGTAATCCAATCCCACCTCCCAGCCACTCCAATGGACTCAAGATGACATGGGTTGAAGATTAAGAATAAATGATAGTGATGCTGAGTTCAAGTCCAATGACAGAATAATTTGGAGGCCTATACTCCTGTTGATGATAACCCTATCGAGAAATTTAAAGCAGCATCTAGAAACAGGCCAAGAACACCTCCTTGATTGGCCACCATCACTGTGCTGAGGAATGATCCAACCCCTCCTCTGTTTGGTCCTCAAGGATTGGCCGTTATAAACCAACAGCTAAGAAGTAAGATTGGAATTCTGTGACCTAATGAAAAGCTCAAGGAGGGGATCAGGCAGCTCTGAGCTTAAATAGCATGCTGTGTAACTGGGGCAATTTGTGTGAGCTTGGATCTCCTTTTTGGCAAGACTGATCCCAGTGGGTGTGAGATTAATGGAAGGCTGTGGAGAGGCCTGGAGATGCACCATCAGTGGTGGCCAACGCCTTTGCTGGTTACCGTCCAACTTACGTTTCACGTACAGGCGGCCAATCACCTTAGCAGTTCCATATCGGTTGGAGACTTCACACACGTAACTGCCTGAGTCTGAGGGCCGGGTGTTTTCAATGAGCAGCCCCGTCACTGTCTTTTGGAACCTTCCAGAAAGTTCTAGGGGCATGTTGTCTTTTAGCCAGCGGTAGTCTGGCTCAGGGTGCCCGAGCGCTTTGCAAGGCAACTCCACACGCTGCCCGGCCATGGCTTTGCGATGGTCAAATCCATCCAGGATGGATGGAGCTGAGTTGGCTGGGTCTGCAGAAGAAAGAAAAACTGTCAGAGGTCATGACCCGAGGTGGGCATTCAGAAGCCAGGGCTTTAAGTGACATGAAATCCTGTACCTCATAGTGACTACTAGTACAGATATTAAGATTTTTCTGTAGGAATGGGGGAAAATATCCAACTCATATAAGTTCTTTCTGTCAGAATTTGTCAAAGGTTGAACCCTGGTGATGGCTTCTTTGATCATTCCCTACTAATAACAGAAACATACAGAATGGGTATCTTCAGCCCGAGTTGTCCACTCAGGGCAAGAAGCGGTTTCTTTTCTGGTAACCTGGATATCACACTTTCAAAAGGACAGCAGGAGCAGTTCAAATTTAGCAAAGATCATTTTATAAGAAAATGAAATTTAATGTGGTTATTGAAATTGATAGTGTTTCATTTATTCATTTCAAACTGTTTTGGCACTTGAAAATTTTTAACTAACGTATTATTATGCATATCAATGGGTGTGATATTTTAATACACATTTACAACATGCACTGCTCAAATCCAGTCTCCCTTTACCTGTCTCTCCTGTTCCCAATGTCTAGCAAACACTATTCTACTTTCAGGTTGACATTTTTTTTAGCTTCTACGTATGAGAGAAAACATGAGATCCTTGTCTTCTGTGTCTGGCTCATTTCACTCAACATAACGCCGTCTAGTTCTATCCATGTTGTTCCAAACGACAGGATTCCATCCTTCTTCAGAGCTGCATAACACTCCATAATGTACATGTATGTGTAAATATGTACGAACATACATGCATCATACCCATCCACCCGCCAATGGCACATCTTGGCTATTGTGAATAGTGTCACAGTAACTGTGGGCATGCAAACAGCTTGTTGGTATGCTGACTTCATTTTCTCTGGATAAGTACCCAGTAGTGGGACAGCTAGATCACATGGTAGATCTAATTTTAGCTTTTTTGAGGAACATCCATATTTTCCATGACAATGGAAATTAGCATTCTCCACATCCTTGCCAGATGGAGGGAAAGATTTGCTGACTATTCATTTGACAGCGAAAATACAAGGAACTCAAAAAAAAAAAAAAGACACCAACAACCAAGCAATCCAACTAAAAGTGACCTGAATAGACACTTCCACAGAAGAAACACAAATAGCTATTTGTTATATTATGTTAATTATATATAATAATACTATATTGTGTATTTGAAATTTTTAGAAAACACCTTCAGTGATCTCACCGCACACAGGAACTGAGAGGAGGGGTGATGGCTATGGTGTATTATTTAGCTCGATTGTGGCAATCATTTCACAATATATATTTATACATATACATCTAAATATAAAATTTCACACCTTAAGTATATACAGTTTTGCCACATATACTTCAATAAAGTCAGAAAAATAAACTCAAGGTCTTGGACATGAGAGACAAAATCTGATGTATTAAACATCACCAAAGTAGAGCACATTTGCATTTTCTAAGACACAGTTAAGAAAATGAAATGAGGAATATATGAGAGAATATATTTGAGAATCATAGGGCTGATAAATCATATTGCTTGTATCTGAAAAAAAAATATAGAACCTTTATATCTCCAAAACAAGAAGGAAGCAACTCAATCAAAAATGGGAAAAATGTTCAAATAGATACATCTCCAGAGAAGATACACAAATGAATAACAGACGCATAAAAAGAAAGTCAATATCACTAACCATCAGACAATGAAGTTAGACCTGCATTGGGACGTCACCTCACACCTGTTAGAACATCTATTATCAAAAATACAAGTGATAACAAATAATACTGGAGAGACTGGGGAGAAGCGGGAACCCTAGCACCCTGCTGATGAGATGAAAATTAGCATAATTACAAATGGATGCTCCAGCAACATTCAAAGGAATTGCAATGTGCACTCCCATGTCCACTGAACCACTATTCACAACATGCAAGAAATGGAGAAACTCATGTCTGCTATGGATTTCCTCTTGAATGTCCCCCAATGACCCATGTGCTAAAAGGTGAGTCTCCAACCCATGGTTCTGTTGGGAAGTGGTGGAGCATTTAAGATAGCCAGTCCAGAGAGGAAATTAGGTTATTGGGGAGATGCACTTGAGGGGAACCCCAGTCCCTCATCTTCCTCTGTCCATCGCTTCCAGATATGAGGTGAGGACCTCTCCCATCACACACTCACACCACGATGTGCTATTCCACCACAGTCCAAATGCAATGGGCTAACTACCCATGGACTGTAACCTGCAAAACTGAGCCACAATAAACTTTTTCTCTTTATACATTCATTATCTTGGGTATTTTGCTGCAGTTCACAAAAGCTGATAAACACAGTATCCATCAACGGATGAACCCATTGAATAAAAGTAGTATGAATATACAATGAGACAATGAGACAATATTTAGACATTTGTAACAACACAGGTAGAACTGGAGCTCATTATTTTAAGTGAAATAAACCAGGCACAGAAAGACAACTGTGACATGATCTATAAAAATTGATTTCTAGAAGTTGTGAGGAGAATGGTGGTTACCAGATGCTGGGGAGAGGTGAAGGGTAGCTGGGGGCTGACAGACAGGTGCTAAGTTACAGTTAGGTGGGAATAAGAAATCTGGTGTGCTGTCTACAGTGGGTGACCATAGGTATCGATAACATGCAGGTTCAAAAAGAAGAGTTTTGAATGCTTTCACCATGAAGGAATGATACATGTCTGAGGAGATGGGTATATTTAACTTGATTCAATCATTATACAGTGTACATCGCTGGTACCCCATAAGTATAGGCAATTTCTATGTTTCTAAGTTTTGGTTAAATTAATTTAGTTTAAATTACAAAAACAGATCAAAATACTACTTTGACTGTCTAGGATCGATTTAATAAAACACAAACAATAATTAGTGCTGACAAGGATGGAGAGAAACTGGAATCCTCACACTTCGAGGGTACAGTGTCCAAGGGTTGCAGCAAATTTCAAACGCAGTTTACTGGTTTCTTAAAATGTGAAATTTCAATTTACCATAGGCTCTACACCTAGGTAACTGTCCCAGACAAATGCAAACACGATGTTCCTTCAAAGACCTGTATGCAAATGTTCATTGCAGGTGTGTTCATAACAGTTAAAAAGTGAAAGCCACCAAACGTGTACCACGTACCGAATGGATGAACAATGGGTGGTATATTCGTACAATGAAATACGACTCAGCACTAAAAAGCAGTGAGCTAGTGACACATGTGACGCCAGGGATAAACCTCAAAAGATGCTAAATGAAAGAAGCCAGATACAAAACTCACATGCTGTGTGATCCAATTAATAAAATATCCATAAAATGCAAATCTAGGGAAACAGAAACTAGATTAATTGCTGCCTGAAGTGTTGCAATTGCCTGCAAATGGTTAAGAGCGGTCTCCGCGAGGGAGAGAAATACTTCAGATTATACCAAGGCTCGTGCAACGCTCTACATGTACTAAAATTATTATTATTATTATTGAGACAGGGTCTCACTGTGTACACCTGGACTGAAGCGATTCTCTTGCTTCAGGTTTCTGCTGGTACTACTGGCTTGGGTACTAAAATTATCGAGTGGCATACTTAAAATGAAGTTTATGTTGGCAAATTATATCTTAATGAAACTGTTTTACAAAAATATGAAATAGGATTTTCTATTTTTAGTACACCATTTAGGCGGTGTTTGAGCCAGGCTGTCATGGGGCTCTTTGGGCATAGATAGAATTAGAACTACCAAACAACTTCAGCTTCAATTTTCCTCGCTTGTCTTCAAGTATTTTATATTAAAAAATCACAAAAGAAGAGAAAATTATATGACCCTCCTCACATATATGTCAGCCACATGCAACAGGCAGCAACCATTTTTCTCCCCTTTGTCTGCCCATCTATGTATTTCTCCACAGGGTTTTGTGTTGCTAGAGTATTTGCATCAAATCACAGAACCTGTCATTTTATCACTATATCTCTCATGCAAATAGTTTCTTAAATAGCCACAAACAGCTATTAATAGTTAAATAGCAAAACAGCTACCACTCCAGCATTTATAATCCAGGACCATCTTAAATGGTAAGTCCTGGGGGACACTAAGCCCACATGAGGAAACCCCATTTCCAGTTCTCTCGTTCCTGGAGTACAGCCTTTGACACCCCACCAAGAGCAAGGGGCAGTTCCCTGTGCTCCACATCGATGGGATCTGGACACCAGTTTTTGCCATCCTGACCTCCCTGGGCTTTAGAGTGACCTGCTCAGCCTCTCAGCCTTTCCGCCCTCTCCTCCAGGAAAGCAGCCCCCAGCGCCATGCCCATTCCGTAGCTACTAAACCTTTAAGGTTAAGGTTTTTAAGAATGTGGTCTGACTCTTGGGGATATACCCAAAAGACTGTTACTCCAGAGGCACCTGCACATCCATGTTTATTGCGGCACTATTCACAATAGCCAAGTTATGGAAACAGCCAAGATGCCCCAGCACTGACGAATGGATTAAGAAAATGTGGTATCTATACACAATGGAATTTATGCTGCCACGAAGAAGAACGAAATGTTATCATTCGCTGGTAAATGGATGGAATTGGAGAACATCATTCTGAGTGAGGTTAGCCTGGCCCAAAAGACCAAAAATCGTATGTTCTCCCTCATATGTGGACATTAGATCAAGGGCAAACGCAACAGGGGATTGGACTTTGAGCACATGATAAAAGCGAGAGCACACAAGGGAGGGGTGAGGAAAGGTAAGACACCTAAAAAACTAGCTAGCATTTGTTGCCCTTAACGCAGAGAAACTAAAGCAGATACCTTAAAGCAACTGAGGCCAATAGGAAAAGGGGACCAGGAACTAGAGAAAAGGTGAGATTAAAAAGAATTAACCTAGAAGGTAACACCCACGCACAGGAAATCAATGTGAGTCAATGCCCTGTATAGCTATCCTTATCTCAACCAGCAAAAACCCTTGTTCCTTCCTATTATTGCTTCTACTCTCTCTACAACAAAATTAGAGATAAGGGCAAAATAGTTTCTGCTGTGTATGGGGGGGGGGGAGAGGGAGGGGGCGGAGTGGGTGGTAAGGGAGGGGGTGGGGGCAGGGGGGAGAAATGAACCAAGCCTTGTATGCACATATGAATAATAAAAGAAAAATGAAAATAAATAAATAAATAAATAAATACGGCCACATATTGAAACAATGGTAAAAAAAAAAAAAAGAATGTGGTCTGGGCCTGTTTTCCCAGGTTGAAGTGAAGTCGTTTCCATACGGAGTAATGCTGCATCCTTTCATTGCAGGAATTTTTCTTTGAATTGCACATTGATTTTACATCTTTACCTGTCATCCATGTATTTTTCCACTAATCCTTCTCCCCTTTGATTTTCTGCATGTGTTTTCTTACTAGTCCTTATTTCCCATGTTAGCTGCTGTTGCATATTCTCGTGTGTTCCTTCTAATTTAATCTTAATTTTATAAAGTTTCATTTTTTCTCATTGCTTCCCAAGTTATGCCATGTCCTGTTTTTCAGATCCTCCTTGTTTAGCATTTAATTTCGGAACTATTTTATTTCTGACGTATATATTCTGATATTCATATTCTGCCGAGAAAGCCATAGAAGCACTGCCCCTGACCTGAGATGATTTCCACCATCAGCCTTGCATTTCTCAGAGCTTGGTGTCATTTATGTCCTATGGCAGCACTCTCACCTTCTCATGTCATGATTTCTTCTATGGTACTTCACAGAGTGGAATTCCTTGAAGCCCTCCCACGCTACCTGGCCTTCTCCCTCTGTCACTCTTGGTCCAGTCTGGCTTAACTGACTAAGCCTAGCAGTTGCTCTGAGGTGGGCTTCTGATCCCTAGAAAGGGGGTTTGCAGAATGTCTCTTTGACGCTCAAGGCCTCAGGCCACGCTTAGCTCCACAGTCCTTACTGACTGTGCTCGTGACCTTTGGCACTCTTCCTCAGCTCGGAGCTCATGCAGCCTGGATGTTCCAGTGCTTTGTTGTCCCAGCGCCATGGATATTCAAGACACAGTGTCCAAGTGTCCATCAAGAAATGGGCCTCTGTGTTTGGAGATGAGCATCTGTGGCCTACACTGCTCCATGGCTGTGTGTAAGTGAAGGCAGCTGTCCTCATCATGCCCACTTCTGCTGCCCTGCCAACACCTGTCAGTGTCCACTCACATGGGTTTGTCACCCAGGTGCTTCTCCCTGTTTCAGTTTCAGGAGAAGTTTCAAATTCTTGCTACTAAATTGCCCCCACCATAACCCCAAATCCACGTGCATATTTTAAAATAAATTTAAATCTAATTTTAAATGGAATTCATTTCTCTTTTCCTTTGCCACACGTAGTAGTGGATGCTCACAAGGGTCTTTCAATGCTGTGTGACTCTGTGGCCCACCCATTTTCCAGCTATCATCTCTCTTGTCTTCACCTACACCTTTAGTCAGCAGGTGTCTTACTCACTGGTTTCCACAGGTGCCTTAGTGTACAACCTCGACCTTCCTGAACTGGCCACAATCTCTGCTCTTCCTTGCTGTCTCCTCAGATGCTCACTACATAATCTCAGGGACTTGCTGGCTCCCATGCTGACAAACTGCTTGTCACTACTGCTCAGTTTTTGAAACATGAGAGAATCATTCCAAAAGAAACAATTTGGATTAATAAAGTAAACTTGCCTCTCTACCTCAGAGCTAAATTTGAAAATCAGTGCTTATGATTCAGAGTAGAAATAAACAAGATCACCAAAAAGACAAGATGGCTCCAGGGTCGTCACCCCTTACTTATCTTTGGATGGAGAGATCCTTCTTTACTTGTTCTGCTAACCCAAATTAATCTCATGTCAAGATTCCTTCCCCAAAACCTTCTCATTTCCTGTCCCCACACAGATTCCTCTTCAGTGTAAAGAAGACCTTTTCTGGGATGTACTGGAACAGCCATGCACTAAGAAGCCAGATATCATTAATCTTTTAATCCATTCTCCCAACATGTCTTGCAAGTCTAAAACAAGGTTGCCAATGACAACTGGCATGACAAAAAATGAGTGAAGGAAAAATGTGAAGTGCAAAGGAAAAATCATTTAATAATGATTGGGATTTGTGCTGGACCTTGAAAGACAGGTGAGTATTGCCATTCTGAGGATGTAAATGCAGAAGAGAAATCCTGCTGAGATATCAAGGACAATGAGGGGAGTTCAGGCAATAAAGTTTTAATTACCCCATTGCTTAATCAACACAAATAAACAAGATACTCAAGTACTGGTGGCAACAACCTTTGGTCCATTCCATCTGGCTACTGTAATAGTACAGGATATTCACCACCTGGAGTGAATTCACATTTTTAGGCTATATAGGCAAAGGTCAAGTATATTGCATTTAATTTGCTAATACTGAGATGCATATTTCACACTCTTAAACCACTCCCTGCATTGGTAATCCATTCATCCCATCAATGCATTGTTTACTGGACAGATGAACTCAACTCGGTAACAAACCAGTCGTGAAGATTATGTAAAATGTTGATGTTGTCTCAAAGTAAAACCCCCATAACACAACTGATATCTTTGCCAGATGGAGTCATTTCAGATTTCCTTCAACTGAGAATCATCTTAGAAGAAAGCGTGTGAGGATGTGACTATCCCTTAATTTTAGATCGGGACAATTTCTCTGACAGCATGGCGTACCACAAGGGGATTTAAGGTGTGTTCCACACAACCACCCTTCTCTCCAGAGCTTCACCTGGTGGGGAGCAGGGAGGGTGGTGTTGGTTGCCATGGTTGTTGACAAACCCGCAGATATGCAGGGCAGGGGCATATGTCTTTCAAAACAGAACTCTCTGTGTGGAAGGATTTGAGAGTTTTACAAAATGTGAAACGACTTTGCTTGGAATATTTCTATTTGCAGGTCATTACATTGGTATTGGCTTTGAAGACTTTACCACTGCTAAAATATTTTAGAAAAAAAAAAATGAAGGTTTCCTTTTAGGCCCAAATTCTGCCATTTTGGTCGAGTCGTATAAGGATGCTGAGGAGGGAATGGCACGGAGGGGCCAGGCAGCGTGGAGTCTTTACCTGACACGAACAGTCTTGCGCTGTTGCTCTGCCTCGTCTCTCCAGTGTATCTGTGCCGTGTGATGCAGCGGTAGTTATACAACCCATCTTCGTTCTGCACGTCTTTAATATACAAGGCTCCCGTGGATGTGATGAGAAATCTAGATCCTAAAACGGAGGACAATGATCACTTGGGTTAAAAAAAGCCAAAGGAGTCTTTATTTCCATTTCCTGTGTGGGAAGCAGAAAATGTTTCTCCCTTCCACCCCCCTCCCCCATTCTCTCTACTTCATCCTGTTATGTTAAAAAAAAAAAATCCTTGTTAAAACTTTACAAAATAAATAAAGCAAAAGCAAGGCAACTACATAAACAAAGTCCTTGAAGAATATTTTTTTAATTTGAGAAAACTTGCAAAGGCTAATTGGTTTCAATTTTTTGACTGCTTAAACTTCGCTAGTATGTTATAGAATTAATATATATTAGCAAATCTCACTTTCAAGAATTAATGTTTTAGGTCAGGTATTTATTTTGCAGCAACAAGTTGACACAGAACTGGCATGTGACCAATGTCGAAAGTCTTCTTGGGTCATCACTTTTGGCTTAGATGTGGGAAGCTAAAGGGAACTAACACTCTTTTGCAAATCTCTCCCTCATGAAAGGGTACACTTCTGCCTTGGTTTGAAGTATCTCAGTAAAAGCACAGAAATGCTGGACTCTAGAGCAATAAACCATTCCAGCAACCTCCCAGGAAATGTTACTTGATTTCCTTATAATAATAGGCAACATCTGTCCTCATGCTCGGGACAAAGATCAACTCTTTGTATATTGTGTGTTTTAGAGTATTTTGTTACTTTTCAATTACAAAGTTTTAAGTGACTACTCAAATACTTGACAATCACTCTTTTCATCTCAGAGAGAAAAATCCACACTCAGCTATTCCTCCTTCAAATCAGCACAGAACACGGGGTTCTTTCTGAGGTCTGTGAATTTTACCTGTACAATGCTGGTTGCACAGAAATGGACGGCACTGAGATTAAATATCAGTATTGGTTTAAGAAGCTTGAGGGTTTTTTTTTTGAAAATACAAAGTTCTACAAGTAATTTTCACTGCTCAATTACATTTGGATAATTAAAAAAATTAAGACATAAGAGTGGCTCTAAAAATGAGTCCTTAGGTGACTCAGTCCCCTCCTGCCACGTTGGACTCTTGCCTGGAATTTGTCTGCATGTGACACAATCATACTTGAATGAGAATGTGATTTGTCTCTAGGGAAAATTAAAATGCCCCCAAAGCCATCTTATTTTTTGTTTTGTTCTTAGGTTCTATTGAAACTTCCTCAGGTTCATTTTCATCAGAATTGTCAGGAGTCTTGACTTCATTGTTTTAGGTCTCAACTGCTTCAGTTGCAAAGTCCCCACAGCCCGCGGTTACTTCTGGCAAAGAAGGATGACTATAAGTTATTCATACTTGCTGTAATAAAATAAAAATATCTTATGACTTCATGTGCAAGGTCAGAATAACTCAAAAGAACTTGGGTGTGAAAAATATTAAAAACAAATACTGGAGCAGAGTGCCTGCCTGGCAACACAACACCCTGGGTTCAAACCCCAGAACTGCCAACACACACACACACACACACACACAAGCTGGGCACAGTGTCTCATGCTGTAATCCTAGCTATTCAGCCGATAGAGATCAGGAGGATCTAGGTTCAAGGCCAACCCCAACAAAGAGTTCACAAGAGCCCATCTCAACCAATAAAAAGCTGGACATGGTGACAGCTCCTGATCCAGTCTAGTGCCAGCATGAATGCAAGGCCCTACCCCCAAAATAACCAAAGCCGAAAGAGATGGAAGTGGTTTATGTGCAGAGCACCTGCCTAGCAGGTGTGAGGCCCTGAATTCAAGCCCCAGTGCCACAAAAAACAAAAAACTGACCTGGCATAGGCTTTTCAAATTAATTGCTAAAAGCTGTACAAAATATTTATAAGTAATATTTAAATTAACTTTGTAGAGTATTTGACTTATTTATTCAAAAATAGGTTGTAAATATGCTAAAAATCACAAAAGCTTAAAAATCTTGTACTGCTACATATTTTAGATAATTTCAGTTTATCTTCCCACCTAAAGAAAGTAAGTAAAAAGCATTTTACCACTCACATGTGTCATCTATGCCAAGCATTCCTTACAACACACATTGCAGGTAATGCAATGTGTTCAATGAGTGAGTTCACAGTGTGCTTACATATGCTTTAGTAACAAGCTCTTTTATAGTACAGCGTGACAGACAAAGAACAAAAAACAATAACGTCCTCACTTTGCTCCTGTGGCACCTAACTTTCTTGTCTACTCACTTAACACGATCAATAAGAGGCATGTCATTTCAGAAGAAGTTGGACCTGTATTTGTCAAACGTGTTCTGAGAGGTTCACAGGAATGGAGAGGTTGAATGTGTTTCAGTACTTAATTTAACTTTTCATTGGGAGCTTCTCATTTCTCAGTGAAATTCATCTTGAAATTGACCCACATTTTAAAACATAAAAAAATATTAGTGATCATGGAAGTCTACAGCTCTTGGGTAGACTCAATTCCAGAGGTGCAGGGGACTCAGGGCCCAGTGAGAGCACAGCCCAGATGGATGAACGCTATATGTCTTGACTCCATGGTAACAAGGAATTATTTTCATTGCTCCCCAACTCCCCACTGCACCCTACTTGCTGTGTTATATCATCAGATGTTTTTGAGACATACAAAGTTTATTCATTTCCTTAAATGAAATTAAAGATTTAAATATAAAATATTTGAGTCAATAAAATACAAACACACAAACTCTATGTCTCAGTCTCTCTATCATTCTCTCTCTCTCTCTCTCTCTCTGTCTCTTTCTCTCTCTCTCTTATACACACACACACACACACACACACACACACACACACACACACACCTTGACTACGTTACGTAGAACTGTTTGGTAATGACAAAACTCTACAGATAACTGTGAATGGTTTTGGGATTTGGGTCATTATTGCAAATATTGACTATCGGGATGTGCTGCTCAGTTATTATATGGATGTCTCAGAAATTATCTCAGCTTCTCAAGATGCACAATATCGTCCCTAGGCCCCTGGGTGCTCAATACCCGGATGGATCTGCCTTGAACCACTCTTCCACTTCCTTCTTTACTACCACGCTGTTGGCTGCTACTTCCATTTGCTATTGAAATCCCTGAAATCCCTTTCCCCAACTGATGTGATGTGCTCATTGTACTGAGAGTTAGAAAATGGGCATACCAACCCTTTTAAGACTGAGCACAGACTAACAGTAGATGGACTGTGAGTGAGCTGGGGTGGCTCTCTCTTATCAGCTAACATGAGCTTTGTACAAGTGCCACCAAATGATTCAGCAGTGAGGCTCCAGTGCAGCCAGCCTGGCTAAGCTCAGCAGAGGGGCTGATGGGCTGTTTCTATCTGGAGACACAGAATGACCAGAGAAGATGGGCATTTACCCAGTAGTCACGCTGCATGAATTCTCAGGGCTGGAGTCCTGTAGCCAAGTGCCTCCCTGTCCTGTTGCAGAGCAGTGAAGAGGACTCAATTCTGAAATTGAGGCGTGAAAGGTTTTTTGAGTTTTCTGCACAATTGCATCTGTAGGCAGAGATTAAAATAGCAGCAGTTCTAGAAAACCATTTTCCTGCACTCTGAGAAGTTGAAGCCAAAACTGTCAACTTTATCATGTGAGCATCGAAAAGAGGCAGGTGTGACCTTCAGAAAGGGGCCTATCAGGGCTAACTCCAGGAAGTCTCTGCTATGGAGACCAGGGAAAGAGAGCCAATGCTTTGGTCCAGCTTTGTGCTGGGCTCCAGAAATGCCAAATGCCATGGTACAGCCCTGTCTTCAGGGAGCTTTCATTCTAAACAGCTATGAATGCTAGGGTTGGGGACATTCCATCCAGGTAGCAAAAAGAAAGATGGGAAGAAGAAGCTGGAATATAATCTGCTTTACCACTGTCTCCACCTGTACCTAGCTCCAAAAGTTGTGTTATTTATCCCTAAACTCTGGCACAAAAAATTAACTTTATATGTTAAAAAATCCATTATTCATTTCTCATCCAATCTATTTGGCTAATTTGTTCCATACTCTTTCAAAGAATCAAATGAAAAGCTCATTCCATGGTACCAGGTGGACAAAGTTTACCTACTTTAACAGATCCCTCAGTGTAGAAGAGAAAACATGGGTTTCAGAATCTAGGGGTCTGAATCCTAAATCTGTCATTATCACTTCCAATTCTGTGACCTCATTCAAGTCATTCAACTCTCCAAACTTTGGTTGTTCACACAGGAAAAAAAAATTGTGAGAGACATTCTCTTCCTTCTATTAAAGATCAGGTTAAAGCATAAATATCATCTAGTGGACAGTAATGCATCTGGTTCCTAGCAGGGTGACTACAGTCAATAATAAGACATCACATATCTCAAAATAACTAAGAGAGCAAAATATCTCATCATAAAAAAGGGTAATGAGATGATGGATGGGTAAATTATCTTGTCTTAATCATTTCACATTTTAGATGCACACACAAAATCAACCAATTCCACCGTATAAATATATGCAATTAAGAGTTCTCAATTAAAATAAATAAAAATAAAGATGGTATCTATACAAGTAAATGTGATGCTGATGATTCTGCTGTTCTGTGGTCACAGATCTGTCCGTGTGTAAATTAATGGAAGGCACTTAGGTTAGATGTGATCATGAGGGTGGGGCTCCTATAGTGGGGGTAGTGCCCTCGTATGAAGAGGAAGACAGATTCAAGCTCATTCTCGCCTTTTCTGCCTTGTGAAAACACAGTGACAAGCAGCTGTCCACAAGCCAGGAGTGGAGTGCTCATCAGGAACTGAATCTGCTGACACCTTGATCTTGGACGTCCAGACTCACGAACTGAAGTAAACAATACATCTCTATTGTTTGAGCCACCCAGTCTGTGGTATTCTGTTATAGCAGCCCAAACTGACCAAAATATTGTATTTAGAAATCTTTTCTGTAGCAGAAAGGGATATTAGCCAACACTCAGGGATGGTCTCCATTATCACCCTCATAAACAGTATCCCCGGGCATATCTGTTAGTATCTGAGCATATGGTACATATCCCAAAGTTCTCAACTTTAATCT